TGTGTCGTGTGCGTGTGCGTGTGCGTGTGTGTGTGTGTGTGTGCGTGTGTGTGGTGTGTGGTGTGTGTCGTGTGTCGTGTGTGTGTGCGTGTGTGTGTGCGTGTGCGTGTGTCGTGTGCGTGTGCGTGTGCGTGTGTGTGTGTGTGTGTGTGTGTGTGTAGTGTGTGTGTGTGTGTGTGTGTGTGTGTGTGTGTGTGTGTGTGTGTGTGTGTGTGTGTGTGTGTGTGTGTATTAAGCCTTGTACGTACATTGGACGTAATCATGTATAAATAATTAGGATAAAATTAACCGGGTGGATGGGAGAGCTATAGCTATAACAGCAGTAATAACAGCTATAACTTAATGAGGGAACTCGGAAACTGCCTGCTTGAATTTGTAAGAAAATATGGTATTCAGATATCGAAACTGGGCACCAGCAGGACAGAGGAATAATCGCCAAGCTTAAATTATATAAGGTAATAAATAATCACCATCGATATACGATATGAATAGTGACCCATACTTACCGAGAAAGGCCCATCTTCTATCGCGAAGAAGACGAAATTGTTTGGGAAGCTGTAGTCGTCATCTTTAACTTTCACATTCTCAAATATCGTATATCCGATGGGCGTGAGCTGTAATTAAGCAAATTTCATGATTTGCATATGCCGAGTAAACATATGTATGCGCAGACATGGACGGGGAGACACAGTTAGGCGGCACGGCGACTGCATACATTTTAATGCAATGGCTTATCTGAAAATGATGGTGTTTTTTGAAAATGTGATTACAAGTACAATCTTGTTGTAAGCCTATAGAAATTTCTTCCCGATAATCGATGTACACGTCGTATTCCTTTTTCTGTATTTTTGGCAAGTGGGACGATTGTAGATTTGGTATCCATGTTTCTGATTTTTTTGGGCAGCGTTCATCATCATATATCATCATATATCAGTGGAATCACCGCCGGGAATTCTTTCGCGGATTCAGTTATGCATGTAATATATCGTTCTGGTTTAATAGTCGCGATCGTATCTTAACCCTACCCGTTGCCCAATTATCGCACACAAGATGTCAACGACACAGCACACCCTGATAAGATTGCGTGCGTGGCTCGCATTAAACTACTAGTGTATTATAATATCTATAACAGTAATCGCGCATGTTGTTTGGTTTACCTGCATACTTCATCACGCGATAGTAAAATGGCCTAGGTAAGACAAACACTCTATTATTCCGAGTTCATTCAGCAAAACGTTACACGGGTCGAGATCACCTGCTTATTATCCCATTATGCAGTATGGAAAATTGTTTAACCTTGCCGGGCCGCCGTGCTATATTCCACAACAAAATTCCGTAATATCAGTGGTTCACGGACGCAATCACCGTAATTGCAAAGTATGCCGTGAAAACTGCCGGCGTGTGAAGCGGCCCCGCACAGGTGACGCATCGTGCGCTATTTCACCACGGTTGCTTGCGTAGCGTATGGCCGACTTAGATTATACACAATGTGATTCCTGTCGGTCGTCGCAAGAACTCACACACTTTTCCGGGTGTCGGAACTTTTAGAATGGATCAATAGAATTTAATAGCCGATTTAGTTACACAAATTTCACCGAGTAATTCGACCCGCGAAACCGGAAGAATAGCGAAAAATGGTTGGCATTCTGGGTTCAAATGCGTGAGAATATTTATTACCAATGGTATATAATAACGTCTGCTGGCAACGTGTATAATATTATATGCTACTGCGCGCGTGCGTGTATGATTGAAGCAGGGGTGGTATTGGGTCAGCTAGACAACTCACCTCGCTAATATTAGCAAAATATGGCGTGTTGATAAATCTTGGCTTCTTATTGTTGACGTCACTTACGTCAATTTTTACCTGTATGGTAGTAATCTGCAAATAAAACCAACTTTTTTTCAAACTGGGAGTTTTATGAAATGAAAAAGGCTTATCGTCATCACGTACCTGAAGCTAACTGTTTACTCGATGCATAAAAATTGAATGAGAACTATCCAGCGGAAATATTTACATCTGATAACAAAATAGGTAAAATGATTACGCTGTAGACGAATAGAATATTACGAAATATAATATATAATAATATAATATAAAATCCTGAAAATTGTGCTTAATAAAAGATGAAGCCACTAACGCCGCGACACTAGTAATAAAACTTAATATCATTCTAGCAGCGGAACATGAGTAAGAAAAATAAAACTAAACCAAACCTTAAAAGAGGAACGTAAGTTGTATAATAATATAAATTAAACGTCGCATTAGAACGAGAAAATAAGTATTATAAATAATGTTAATTGAACGTTACCTTAGAAGAGGAACGTTTGTCCGTGCAGGTGATGCCGATGTCGATGCGTGGAACTCGGTCGTAGTTCTCTGCGCCACCAGATGAATTAAATATCTCGTCTACCTAAATATTTAAAAAGGAAAGTTACTATTGATTAGCTCGCTTCATCACTGCTACAATCACAACGGTAGTCGTACGTAAAGCACAAAATAGAACATAACAAGTCAGTTGGTAGGTGAATGCATTAGGTTAGAGGAGTTAACAGAAGCGAGGTATTAGAGAACAGTACAGAGTAAAATATGAACCAAATACATCTCTAGATGGCATAAACAAAATAATGCAAATTCATGTAAATTTTATCAAGAATTTAATAATATACCCCTACTGCTCAGTCGAACGTAGTAATGCTCGTATAATTAGCCTATCTGTTAGCGTAAATGGTGAGAATATCAAAACAACCATTACTGTGTAGCCAAACACAGAGAAAATCGTCGCAGTAGATTAATTTGTGCAATGATACAGTCAATTATTGTTGGAAAAACTATTCACATATAGCTATTACATTGTCTCTTCTGTTTTCGTAAACAGAGCGTATATCTCATTAAATACACAATCAACGCGTTAATCGTAAACACTAACCCACAGGTGTAAATTCGCGATGAGCTTTATTGCTCTCGTGTCCGGTATGAACTCAACCAACTTGCTAATATGCTGTTGATCTAGTTGGATTTCGGTGTCACTACCGTGTACACGGAGTACCCCTATAACCTCTCCTGGAAAATACAACGGGCGTCATTTAACATTTTATGCACAATTTATATGGCTGTCGCGAGACTTCAACACCGATTTTTAGAAACCGCTGTCGAGTAGAGATGCTGCGAGCTAACCGAAATGTCACAGTTTGACGTTACATTTATCGGGTTATCACGTAATGCACGTAAGACTTCGTTACTACCCAGCTAACAAAGTTATGTTCCTTGAATGTTATGGGAGTGTTTCCTTTAGGTTAGCAGAACATTATTCAGTAACGTTCTAATAACGTTTTTTAGGAAAGTTTTCCTGACATTCTGAGAACGTTTTTACCAAATGTTAGGCACTAACATTCACACTACTTTCAGATAACATTGATCATCCTTCGAAAATGACATATTAACGGAAGACACACTACGCATGCGCTGCAGCCCTAACTTAATGTCTCCAGTAAGGCAGTCCCACACACAAGTACAAACAGTCACACTATCCCTATACCTAACCCTAACCGTAACCCCAACCCTAAACCTAACACTAACTCTAAAGCGACTCGCGTCGTATATATAGCGTGTAAAAACAGATAAATTAATCTATGGTGTATAACCTTTTGCTTTCAATAAAAAACTGAACTGAACTGTTTCTGAACTGAAAATCAATCCCAAACAACTAGTGTAGGCTAGCTAATTAATTAATTAATTAATAATTAAATAATTAATTAATTAATTATAAGGCTGGAGATTAATTAATAGCTAGTGAACGGCATTATTTTGTGGGAAAGCGACGCATGCGCAAATGGACTACCGTACCCGTAGCCGCGAGACATACGGCTACCGTCCCCGTAGCCACTGCGAACAAAAATACATTTGATACCTGTGCTATAGTTTGCAACATCACAAAAACGGCAATTATGAGTTTCGAACCCATCCGAGGACGATTAACGTTTTTCGAACGTTCCAAGAACATAACTTTCTCACCAAGTAAAACCAATGAATGCATAACGATATGGAAATATTCTTAAAATATTTTTGGCTAATGTAACCAAACTAGAACCTCCAGCGAATGTTACGAGAAACATTCCAAGAACATAACTCTCTCACCAAGTAAAACCAATGAATGCATAACGATATGGGAATGTTCTTAGAATATTTTTGGCTAATGTAACTAAACTATACTCTACTGCTGGCCATGTGAGTATACTATTTCAGTACGATGGCCTGTCTCGCTGATGTAAGGAAAAAGGATGAGGGGAAGTCGCAGACTCACCGACAGGTGCCATCTCCGAAACGTCCATGAAGACGGGAGCAGGCGCTCCGTCGTAGCTGCACAACGCTAGACGAATGTAAACAAGTGATGCAGACGATAGGCATATAGATATAGCCTGGGACATCGCAAAACCACTACCGGACATAATTACGCGCTACATACATCATATCAGGGGTTAATAATAACTAATTTGTCATTATTAACCACCTGATCATATGTAGGCTAAATACGAGCGCTCACACACACACACACACACACACACACACACACACACACACACACACACACACACACACACACACACACACACACACACGCGCGCG